GGCTCTACAATCAATCATCTCTTCTCTCTCCAGCCCTCTCTCTGCCTGATCCCCCTGACCCTTCGTGAACATGAAACTGTTACAGTGTGTCACAGTTTGGAGAGAAATTCACAAAGTTAGCAGGCAGCATTCAACTGGTGGGCACTAGAATAATGTACTGCATCTCACTGAGCTGACTGCCCTGCTTCATTTCTACTGTAAAACAGCACAAATCTGTAGCAAGTTCCACTACGCCACGGGCAGACACAACACATTTACAATCAGCATAATCTGTGAACATCGTCAGAGAAATAGTGTATCCTGCACATCCACAGAAAGGTTTTGTAAAGCCATTTTGCAAGGTCATGTCACAAAAAGCACTTCACCACCAACATTTTTTTGTCGTATGTATGGACACATACTTTTGGAAAATGTATTTGAAACTGAATAAAGCACAGTGTTGAGTGTGGCAGCATCTGAAGAGAGAGGGGCACTCATCATTATGGACAGGCTAGAGACAGGTGCATCTTAGAGAGAGACCTCAGGAGAAAAGTCATGGAAAGAGATTTCTATCCTAGTGCATGTTGGGCGTGTTTTAACAATCAAGTAGTTTGTTGTTAGGTTTTGTGTCTGGGCCAGTCTCACGTTACAATGATTCTGACGTGTTTACATTAGCAGTGAGATCACCTGCATCAAACTAAATGCTCCCTTTTCCTCACAAAGCCCAAAATCAGCTTTACTGGCAAGGTGTGTTGGACACACAAGGAATTTGACTCTGGTACAGTGGCTCGCAATGTTTTTGTACAGTGTTTTTCTGTAAAGCAATGAGTAGACAAGATTGGGAGAACAAGAAAAGGAAAAGAAGGCGCAAACAAGAAAAAAGGAATGCATATTAGGAAAATAATAATAAAATTAAAATACTTATAAATTTGACACTTAGAGACAACCAACCACATTCACTCCTATGGGCAATTTAAAGAAGCCAGTCAACCTAGGCTGCACGTCTTTGAACTGTGGGAGGAAACTGGAGTACCCATGCAGGCACAGGGAGAACATGAAAACTCCACACAGAAATGCCCTGGGTTCCAACCCAGAACCTTCTTGGTGTGAGGTGACAGTGCTAATCACTGCGCCACCATGTGTCAGCCTGGTGATCTGTTCAGGGTGGACCCCGCCTCTCACTCAAAGTCAGCTGGGCTTGGCTCTAGCTCCTTGCGATCCTCGTTAGGATAAGCGGCATAGATAATGAATACTTATAAATAAAGAAATATATATATACACAGCTTAGAGGCAGTTTTTCTGGTAGATAGATAAAAAGGTGTATTTACAAGGCATTTCACTGAGGGTTGTTGTTCTGTTATACAGTCATGGGTTAAGTGTTCATCAGAGTGATGGCCTAGGGGAAGAAACTGTCCTTGTGTCTGGTTGTTTTGGCGTACAGTGACCTGTAGCGCCATCCAGAGGGGAGGAGTTCAAACAGATTGTGTCCAGGGTGTGAGGGGTCTGCAGAAATCTTCTCCACCCTCCTTTTGACTCGTGAGGTGAACAGGTCCTCCATGGAGGACAAGCTGGCACCGATGATTTTCTCTGCAGTTCTGACTGTCTGCCGGAGTCTGTTTCTGTCCTATTTGGTTGCCAAGCCAAACCTGACAGTGATGAATGAGCAGAGAACAAACTCAGTGATTCCTCTGTAGAACTGTATCAGCAGTTCCTGGGGCAGATTGAGCTTCCTGATCTGGCACAGGAAGTATACCCAATGCTGTGCCTTCTTGGTGATAGAGCTGATGTTGGATGACCACTTCAGCTCCTTTTGCTAATAACTACAAAGTGAGTTATTCCTGCCTCAACTGCTTTTCGGCACTAGGTGTATAGGGAAGGCAGCATAGTGTTTGAAAGATAGTTGCAGGATGGAACAGAATATTTTTTTACAATGTCAAATACATTGCATTTGTTTTTGAATCAGTCCTCTCTTCCTGTCTACAGCTCATCACTTGATTTTAACATGTTGTTTTGACTTGGTCAGTTCCCCAGTAATATGAAAATAGCAAAGGTTATTCCATTGTATAAATCTGGGGATAAGCACAACTTCACAAATTATAGACCGGTTTCTCTGTTGTCACAGTTTTCAAAAATCTT